GGGCGTTGCGTGTATTTAAGCTCCCGCGGCATGACGTCTCAATCCGGGTTACGGGTAGTGGAATTTCCGCTTACATAAGTTCCAGTAACATGTAATATCGTAGTCAAAATGTTAATGCATAGGTTTTTGTTCCGGGTGAAGGAAATTCCTTTTCATAGAATTCCGGGGATGGGAATATTTACTAGAATCCATTCGTGATTTTCAACACCCCTAGTCCTGAATTTCGGGCGGAAGGCAAACAAACGCAGGGCAGATATTGAGACAGACAACCATTCACACCGACATACACACCATCACTGAGTGGGAAGTGAGGTGAGTGTACCACTTGCTACAATAGTAGTCATTAGATTTTATTTTCATTACTTGATAAAGGGCAAAATGGGCATGACGGTGATTTACTGGTTAGCATGTCCGCCTCATAGTTCAGAGGTCATGGGTTCGATGACAGGTCCTGGCCTTCCCGTGTGGAATTTGCATGTTCTCCTGGCAACCTGTGAGGGTTTTCTTCGGGTACTCTGGTTTCCTCAGACACTGCAAAAACATGCATGGCAGGTTGATGGAACACTTTAAATTGTCCCTTGGTGAGATTATGACCGCAAATGGTTGTTCGTCTGTGTGCCCTGTGATTGGCTGGCAACCAGTTCAGGTGGGATAGGCTCCAGTAGGCCCATGATCCCGATAAGAAAATGGCTGGATGGATAAAGTGCAAAACATTTCACCAAACTTTGGATTTGGGGTAGAACACATGATATTAAAGCAAATATGTCAAGCGTAAACATTTTTTTATTGGAAACATACTGCATACAATATGACAAGAAATGTGATTCAACTCCTTAGATTTATTGCGTCGATGACATGACATCGTCTTTAGTCATACGTGATGTCATCTTTAATGGACGTCTTCATGAAATGAAGAGAAAGAGAAACACCGCCTCATTTGCCCACAATAATTCCACCACCTCCCACATTGCTCCTCTTTTGATATCAGATGATTTTTTTTTAAATTAGCCCCTACACGTTGAATCATATTTACTTCTGTAAACACTGCTGCGTGTTGTCGTGTTTTGCGCATGTCACACAACATGCGCATGCGTGTCTATGTTGTACATAGAGCATATTTGACAATAAAGCTGACTTGACTTGATTTGAGAACATCACAACCCCAAAAATCTGAACCGGGCATCACACCGCAACATCGAGGTGTCGGAATGAAAACTACATGCAAATGTCATATTCTGCACCTTGCCCTTTTTTCCATGGACTGCGGTCAATTCCGCAGGGAGCTTTGAAATCCGCGGCAAATTCCGCGATCACAGATTCTTGCAGGGGACTAAATAAAGTCAAACCTCGTTTTTCGAACGTCTCGGTTCTCGACAATTCGGTTTTCGACCAAAAATTTCGAGTTTTTTATGCCTCGGCTGACGAACAAATTTCGGTTCTCGAACAAACTGAGCGCACTTGAATGCACCACTTTTTCAGTTTCAGATTCAGAAAACTATTTATCCCCGTGGGGCAATTAGAGTTTAATGTGGAGGTGCAGTGTTGTTGTCGTTAGCACTGGCTTGGAGCGCTCGCCATTAGCACCGGGCGAGCTGGAGGCGTTAGCTGTAGCACTCGCTAGCTGTTAGCGCCGGGGCTAACGAATGAATGAAAAAAGATATTCGAAGGGGGAAAGTGCAGAATTAATAGCTCGAACAGTCGCGCTGAGGTAACGCGGGCCTGTGGAGCTAGGAAAAAGCAGGGAGTGTTGGTGAAAAATGTGGAAAAAAGCAAGAAAAGTAAGAAAAAAACGCTCCGGACGTAGACCGGTCGACCACAGCACAGCGACCCGGAACCGGTAACTCCTTGACTCCTCTCGCCTTCCTTACACGAGGAAATGACGCTTCCTCGGTAGACGAGGAGGTGACGCTTCCTCGTGTCGCTTTCCATTGTGAACAGACGTGTTTAATAAAGATGATTTTATTAAAAAGAGCGTGGTTTTGGTTTCCGAACAATTTCGGTTTTCGAACAGCCTTCTGGAACGGATTATGGACGAAAACCGAGGTTAGACTGTAATTGAAATCAGTTCCAACCACAGAGCAGGCTGTGCAAATAAAGTGCCCAAAACACACTGTAGACACATGACATTCACATTCCTCTGACTGTGTCACAGTTTCAGTTCATTGCTGAATTCATATTTTTTTTCAATCCCAAAAAACGTCTCGACATTTGCCTTCAAGCTTGGTGGCTGATTTCAGTGCTTCTACCAGGATGCTTTGCGAGGCTACACTCGCATAGTGACAAGTTATATAGAATGGGCCAACAATTTAAGAACAATATTTCTCAACATACAATTGAAACAAAAATTCTCATCATGTCATCAAAAGATTAAGAGAATCTGTTGAAAATATCCAGTACCAACGGATGGTCCATCTCTGGTGGACACACGTTTCGCTGGCGGACTGACGGAAATTTGAAGCATTGATTGACTAAGTGCCAATGGATGCGGTTCATCGTCTGTCACTCGAATCGTTACTAACCCCAGTGGCAGGCAGTCCATCAGTACCAACAGAAGGTCTGTCAGTGACGGGCTGTCGTTTCGCTGACAAACGACGGAAACATGAGCCGCGTGAGTTTGGGTGTCAGGGTGACTACTCTAGGGTTGCTTCGACTGAAGCGGACGAGGGGTCTTCGTCCCCCGACAGAAAGAGAACATTTGAACATCGCTAGTCAATCTGGTGATCTGTGGTTGCATTGGCTGCTAATTCTCGGTTCCCATTCTCCAAGGCTGCTCCTTCTTTAGGTCTTCCCGGCCGGTAATGGAAGCTGGCTGGGTTGTGTACCTTTCAATCCCACAGACTGCATTGACATGGTGCCATATAGCCGAAATGTGGTTTATATAACGATGATGGCATGACGGACTGGCAGGTCGTCCGCTGGCGAATGATGAATGATGGACCGGTGAAACTGACTTAAAAAAAAAAAAAAACATTGAATGCCCTTTGATCGCTCTGGCGGCACTTCATCATCATATAAAGGATATTGTTACATGGGCTCAGAAAGATGTCAGAAAACCATTTTCAACTTCAACTTTCAAACGTCATCGCTACATCTCCAAATGCTAATTGAAACTCGACCATGCAAAGTGAAAGCCGTTTACCAACAACACCCAGAAATGCCGCTCCCTTCTTTGCGGCCAAGTTCTTCTCAGATCGACTGACGCAAAGTAGAAAAGTTTGCTTTGCGACATCCAAATCGTTCTTTGGAAATTATGGAAGGAAATCGACCATCACATTTATATCAGTAAAAAGTTCAAAAGCCAGTGTCTGTGATGGTATGGGGTGTGATTGTGCCATTGGCATGAAAAACTTGCACAACGCACGTCTCCGAAGTCACCATTCAAGCTGAAAGGTACTGACAGGTTTTGGAGCAGCATATGCTGCTATTCAAGCACAGTATTTTTCATGCAGGTGCCTCCTTATTTCAGCAAGACAATGCCAAGCCACATTCTGTACGTTACAACAGCGTGGCTTTGTAGTGAGCAAGTATGAGACTAGTCTGCCAGCAGTCCAGACCTGTCTGCCATTGAAAATGCATTATGAAGTGCAAAAAAATGTCAACTGAAGTTGTGCATCCAGTAAGAACGGGAACGAAGCCCACCGACAAAACTTCAACAATTAGTGTCCGTACTTCCCAAACACTTTTTGAAAAAGAAAAGGTGATGTAAAACAGTGTAAGTTGTTGACTGACACTATGAGCAGGCTGCTTTATTCAGTACAGTCCAAACAAATAAAAACAAACATTGAAGGTATAATCACCTGCATTTGTCATGGACACCCCTATACATGAAATTTGACCCATTACAGTAATGGACTGTGCAAAAACACCCTAGAGCAGGGGGCCACTGAAGTGCCCAGGGAATTGTTTGGGCTGTCGGTGTCTTGCTCAAGGACACCCCAACCGCGGGTCCAGGGGATGTTGTCGGAGATGTGGTCTTGAACTGGCGTCCCCGATGAGCGATGAGCTTAAATGAACACGCTCTTTGCTTCTGTGCCATTACTAATGCAAATGTTTCATCTATGCTCTTCAGATGGTGCCGATCGCACATCGACAATATGAAATGAGGACCTGGGTGAGAGCAGCGGAACCGCGTGGCGGGTCACTTCCGGAGGCCCTCTCACAACAAGCCACCCTGAGGTCATCTGCCCTCCAGTGCCCTCGTCCTGTAGCCAAAGGTAGAGCTCAACCCAGGGACTGGGAGGCCTCCAAGAAACACAAGCCAACACATTGGCTGCGTCCATGTGGTTGGGAAACACACTTCCTGCTATGACCCTCACCATCTCAGTCCTGAAGACACCCGGGGAGAGGAAAGTATCCAACGTAGGCTGGACAGTGGGTGACCAGAGCCTCCTCAGGAGATCAGGTCAGAAGCAGTTCACCCGCAGCAGAGGCAGAGATGCTGGGATGGGGGATCGGGGCCCAGTGAACCCCCAGCCTCAGTTCCCCTCTTAGGATCCTCATGTATACACCTCGAGTGCTTGTGGCATTTTCCACATCTGTTCCAGAACCTGGAACCCCCAAAACGAGACAAGCAGATGGATGGCAAGCATTCGGGAAAGGCCCATTGCTCAGCGTTTGAGCATCAAACAAAACAGATTGTCGATGACGGGTCTCTATTGTTTACATGATGACGCTATTTTCAAAGGGTACAGAAACAAAAAAAAGGAATCAGCTTTGAATGTTGAAAAGTCCCGTTATAAAGCTACATCCCGCGAGTAGCCATCACGCTAGTTTACAAGCTTACCGTTGATGAAAAAATGTGCCAATCGAGAGAAAGAAACGGTGGAAGGAGGTGACGGGGGATGTCGGGAAAGGTGCTGAAGGTTGAAAGGACTGAATGGGAAAGTGAGGAGGGATTCTGGCGAAAAGGGATACGCGAACGTTTGGTAGGAGTAAGACATCAGAGGCAGGACCTCTGGTGGCCTTCAAATGACGAGAGGGAGGGGACGTCATGTCCTATCGTGTCGTCAGTTTGTCTTGCGAGCGGAAGAGGAAGTGACCAGTCAGTTGCGTCTTGTTTATCTCGAGCTTGTACTGTATAAACTCTGAATTCAGATCGTTTGGGAAGCCTTGAAAGAGGGGGAAGGCTTTCATCGTATAAGTGCAAGACATGCGGGCCGCATTACGAGTGGGATTTTCTAATGTTTGTTGTCTGTGTTTTGTTAAACCTTTGTTAAACAAGGGTGATTGAATCTGCATATTGCAACTATGTATCTTCCTTGGAGGAAAGTGAGGAGTAAGGAAAATGGGCAAACACTTCACACCGATCAGTCCATGAAGGGTTGCCGAACCCGGAGACTGTCCCAACTGGAGGTCGCGCCACCTTCACCCGTGGAGGCGCGCGCTCGCCCGACCGCTCCGAAGAGGCCAAAGACAGTTCCGTGGGCAACGTTTATCGGGGAATTCTATCTTTAAATATCGCGTCTTATCAATATCGGCTGACCAGGATTTCATTGTCATATTTAGTTTTGAGAAACGGCGTCTGGAATGCAGATGATATTCAGTCAAGTTTTATATTGAAATGTGGTTAGGAAACACTAACAACGGGCGCTCAAAGTCATCTAACGAGAGACGTTTCTTTGTTTGCATTCTTTTGTTCGTAGTTGTTAGTTTTGCCGTTGCATAAGAGCACAGTACTGCCTTTGTTCCCTGCACTTGATACGATAATGTGATAACACTAACATCCAAATCGACACGACTCAAGCGCCAACGGCGGCCATTTGGAGTCAAAGCCAGCTTGCTGCTCTGCTTGTCAGTGGGGTCGTTCGATCCCCCGCCCGCACGTCCGTCTTGGCGTCGGGTCGTGTCCGTCAACTGTGTGCTGAATCAGAACACACGGGTCAGGACCAAAGCGGATTTTTGCATGCACGCCCCCCCCCCCCCCCCCCCCCTTTTTTTTTTTTTGTGTGCTGCCCGCCAGCAGGCAGAGCTTTAACACGGTTTTTGGAGAGTGTCCTTACTGCAGCAAGGTACGCCTGCCCGCTACC